TGAAGACTTGCTTTATGAACCGGTTAGTGATTATATGAGCAATGGATCCCTTACTGCACTTAATTGTCATGAACTTCGGACTACCAGTGCTTTAAATATTGATTGTAATATCAATACAAAACAAACCAATGGCACTGGTATTAGACAGTCTGTGATTTGCAATACAATCAGTCAATCTATGCCATCAATTAATACAATTAATGACACTAATGATAATAAACCAAAAATCAATAGCACTGTAAACTCATTATCTTCAGTGCCGTCACCCAAACCCAGTCCTAGACTTCTGCCAAAACCTGCTACCATTAAACCAGAAGTACCTAAAAATAAGCCCCAAATGTGAGTCATTGTTTTGTTAATGTCTTTAAATAAAAACAATAATTAATTAAAAATATTTAATTAAAAGAATTCCCAGAAAACCTGTAAATAATAACTTAAAGTCGACTTCAAATATGCCGATAAAAAGGCCGCCATCAGAGCCACCGCCGCCTCCACTGCCAAAGTCTCCGCCACCGATGTCTCCCATTAATGTTCCATCAGATCTGCAATATATGTTGACAAAAGATACTAAGTATTTAATAACGACTTCAAATGGATATCCAGACAACTATGAAGCAGTTGTATTGCCTTTGACTGAAGATGAATATCTATCACCCATTCCTTTAGATATAACTTCCCGTAAGAGCTCGTCATCAACTATATCATCGCTCAGAGATGATGTTTCATCTATTGGTTCGTATAAATCACATTCTTCTCAAAGTCATAGCAATGTTATAACTGAAGAAAATTACGAGCCATTCATCGAAACTATAAAAACTAATGATATTAACGACAATGAAATGACAATTAAAGATGAAAACTATGAAATTGTTAATGAAAATCAATTTATCAATAATCCGATATTACCTGTTAGTCAAAGACCACTATTACCTAAAGTAAAGGAATCGTCTATTATGACCAACAAATCAAAACTAGGAATTCCCGACGTTTTTCCTAATCTTCTGAATAGAAGTACAAAAGACAAAAAGTGGTCGAAAGAGTCTAAATCTCTTGAAAATGATATTAATATCGAAGATAACAATAATAACAGCAATTCAGTCAATTCATTAGGTAATTATAAAATTATATCTTTAATATTGTTTTCTTATTTTATCAAATTTATCATTAAATTAATGAAAATATTTCTATAACACACTAAATTGCAAATAAAATTAAAAAATTATTTTAACTAAAATTCAAAATTATTATATTTAATATGAAATATTAGGTTATTAAATTATTATAAATTTGAGTTGAATTATATGTAATAGTACTGTATTTATTGCAATGATAAGCATTTGTTAACAATATTATTATGGTTACAGATAAACACTAGTTTCGATTAATTTAAAAATCGAAAGCTTGAAAATACTGTTTTATTTTGTGATTATCTATAATTTAGATTTAAATTTTGTAAATTATTTACTAATATTAAAACTACTTTTATTACTTAATCATAAATCAGAATTGAAATTTTAATAACAATAACAATAATAACAATAATTGATTTTAAAAGCTTTAAAAATTGTTTTAGATTTTAATGTTGAAAATGACATAAACTTTTAAATTGATTTAAATTATTGAATATTATTTATGACATACGGTATAATTTGCCTAAAAATCTATTAAAATACATGAGCTCTTTAAGTCATATAATTTATGATTCATTAGTGAAGTGTAAAATGTATGACAAATTTTTACCTATATTTGCACTGATTTATAGTTTATAAGTAAGTTTTTTTAAAACAATTTTTTAAAAATAATAATGACATCGTAATTATGATACATAGTTTTTTATTGTTATAAAAAAATTATCAATTTATTTTATGATTTATTAATTTATAATGTTAACTTGAGTATTAAAAGAGATTCATTATTTAGATAACTGTTATAAAATTTAATTGTGTGTAATATTTTTTTTTATCTAAATAAGCTATTGATTAAAAAAATTAGCATTTAAAAAATATTTAATGCCACCACTTATTATAATGTTTGACCAATAAATTAAAAATGAGTTAAACCTAAAATATTTAATTGAAAAAATACTTGTTTTTTTAAATAAGTTGTTTTAGAGGCATATCTGCCCTCTGGTCTTCATTGTCTCGTATGATATGTGTTACTAAATTTAGGACATAAATTGAGGTTTTAATTCATATTATAAAATATTTACTTTTAAATAAAAATTTAATTATGTAAAAGAAAATTAATTGAATGTCAAAATATACTCTACATATAAATACTATACATAATATTATACTATCGGTAATTTAAAACGATTAACAGCTTATAACTAATATAATAGATGGCATATAAAAAAGTATAATTGAAAAAATTTTTAAAAATTAAATATTGTAAAAATTAATGTTTTGTCATGGTTAGTTTATTAGTTTAGAATAAATTTTAAAAATATTAAAATAATATATTTTGTATTATTTTTAAAAGTTGCAATTTTATATCATACTAAAATATAACTTATATATAATAGTAAATTTTAAATTATAAGAACTAATTATGTATATTGATATTTTTAAAATTATTAGTTATATTTGTTTTTTAAATGTAGTTTATTTGATAGTTAAATTATATTTTTATCAAATAAAAAACATATTTCAAAGTAATATTAAGGAGTTGTATACTAATGTGATAATCACTTGTTTAAGGATTTTACTAAAAATATAATATTTGCTTATTTTTTATCGACAATAGTTTAAGATATGTTTAAACATTATTAAACATTAAAATATTTAACAAAAACTATATTACAAAGTTTATATTATTTATATCATGTGAAAGCAATTTGTTATATTTAATATAAATAGTTTTATTATATGATAAAAATAATATTTGTTAACATCTATTATATTTTATTATAATATAATATTTATTTTGCTATTAAATATTATTGAGAGCAAAATATATTTTGATGGAATAATGGATATTGAATATAATTAGTAAAAATGTATCTTATTGTTAAATTTTTTTATAATTATTTTAAAACTAGTGTATACATGTATAACAATGTATATTTGTAAAATTGATAAAAATAAAATTTATAACAATAGTTTTCTAGCCTTAATTATTATTTTTACCAACACTTAAATAAAGCACAAAATTTATTTTTAATCTAAACATATATTACCTGTAAATAGAAAACAAAATATTATTACATTTATTGTAATATATTAATAAATATATATTATTAATAGTTTATATTTATTATAACTATGCTATATATTATAGTAATTTTGAAAATAACTTTATAAATTAACTATTATACTTTAATAATAATTTTATGTTAAATAGTATATTTAAAATAATTTATATTATTATAATAATAGTTTAGAAAAACTGATATTTTTATATTTAATTTTGAATTTTTAATATTTTTAAATATTTTTTATTGATTTATATTTAGTTATTATGTCTAACTACTTAATGTATTTAATTTTTATATAATTTATACATTGATACTATGTTTTTGATTATTAATATTAATTAAAAAATAAGATTTTTTGGTCATATCTTTTGATGGATTTATGTACTCTTTAAATGAGATATTCTTTAAAATACATCATAAAAGTGTGGAAATAAAATTATTTCAAATTAAAATATATACCTAATTATAAATTTATTAGTCTATTTTTATTTTGTTTATTTTAATGATTTAGTTATACCATTATTATAACTTATTTTATGATTTTTAGGTATATCGAGTCGTCCTCTGCCTCCACTGCCATCAGTTCCATCACAAGTGGTATCACAACCATCGTCTCAATTACATTCATTTGCTAGCAATGAATCTCTCCATAACTATGAATGGTTTTTGACGGTCGAGAGGGAAGACGCCGAGGCTTTGTTGATGACACAGGAGGAGGACGGGGCGTATTTGGTTAGGGAAAGCAAGAGAGCCGGCAAAAGCAATCCATACACACTTACTATCTTTCATAACGGACGGGTATTTCATTTAAATATCCGTAAAAGACCTGACAGTCTCTATGCTTTAGGCAAAGAAAAATCAAGAGAAAAGGTTTGTTTATTAATTATAATTATTTGTTTTTATAAATTATTAAAATCTATTAAAATGATTATTATATAACAGACATTCAAAACAGTGGCCGATTTAGTCTCATATCACACAACAGAACCTATTCTTTTGACAACAAGAGGTATGATTTTGTGATAAATTTATTATTTAATTATTAATTAAAATTATCTCTTATAAACATTTAGGTACTCCGGCAGGAAAAACGAGATTAATAGTAACGCCATCGACTTCTTTGTGCTAATTATAACAAACAGATTATAATCACTAACTGCTTATTATTTGTCTAATTAAAGCTCAACGACTAGTCAAACAATATAATTATGATTTTTGTTATTTATTTCTTTATCTTTATCTAACATTTATATATTTTTATTTAATTATAAATGTTAATTAACTAACTTTTGTTAAATTTAGTTTAATATATTTTTTAATATTTTATTATAAAATTATTGATGCATGAGTACTTAATTAAAATAATTAATTTCAATAAATGATACTTAAAATGTATTATTAAATTAAAGTAATTCATCATTATACTGCTAATGATATGTTTTAAGTAAATAATAGCTTCAAAGCTATAATTTATTTTTATTCAAATAATTAATTAAATTGTTTGAATATTGCATTTACAAGAGTGATAATAATTATTTAAAAATTAGGATTACTAATAGGTATCACATGTATGATAAAAAAAGTGGCTAAAGTGTGGGATCAATAAAATATATGTTTAAATAGTTATACTATTAATGACCTGAAGTGTAGGCATTAGCGCACTTGCATTGCATTACATTCACTGTTTTATGTTATATCTAATCGACTGAATAACTATTTTTGCAGTGAAATAGTGAATCTGTTGATAGAAACAACAGAAAGAGAGAAAAGGAGGATATTTTGCTTCAATTGTTTGACATAAGTCATGAATGAGTTGCCATTCAGAGGAAAGGCCTGTTGGCAAATATCTGACACAACTAACAGTTCTCTACATGTCATACAATCATTGACTGTTGAGGAATGTATTAAAGCAACGATTGTATTGTTGATAACAATAGCTGTAATAGTGTTGAATACTTTAATGATTGTCGTACTTCACAGTAAAAACTATTCCCGATATTTAAGAGATTTACCAAAAATTTTGATGACATCGCTATCATTGACCGACTTAGCCGTCGGAATACTGGTCACACCAATCAGTTTGATATCAATTGTCAAACAGTGTTGGCCGTGGAGTCCAACGGTGTGTGCAATTGAAGCCCTACTCATTGCCGCACTCTTTCACGAATCAACACTTTCTTTACTATGTATTGCTATCGATAGATATATTTGTATCATTCATCCACTTAGATATCACACACTTATGACTAAAAAGGTATCACTTTTTCACATTTATTATAATTACTAATAAAACTAATTATAATAATATTTATTAATTATTAGCTTATTATGTTTTTATAGTTTAATATATATGTGGTACTGTACTTATATCATTTTTAGCACTATCTTATATACTTTAAGTTAAATATATAAAATAAAATTACCGCAATAGCAATAAATTTATCATTTAAATAAAATAATCTATTTAATATAAATACAAGATATAAATACTGTCTAATCAGTTTATATATAGGAAATATTAATTATTATAAATACTATAAATTACTAAAAAATAATGAATAATTAATTAAAAATATAGTTAATGTAAGTATTTAGTTTTTACTTTTTACTTTATAATATTTATTATATGATAGTGTGGTAACTACTAAAACTTACATTAACTTACAAATTATATAATGACCTAGTGCATTGTTTTTTATTTTTTCTATTTTATTTATTATTTTATAATATAACTATTAATATTTTGCTAAAAATGCAATTTTTTGTTATTTTTATAAGATATCTTCAACTTAGTAATTATATTCAGTACTATAGTTGTGTTCAATATTTTTATTATTTTTAATGTATTTTAATCAATAAATAATTGCTGATAATATAAGATTATGACAAATAAAAGAATATTTTTTATAATAACACAAACATTTGGTTTTTTCCACACATTTCATACTATTAAATAACAAGTAATAATGTATAGAAAATATAATGTTATATGTTTTACACTTGAATTTTCATTGTTGTCAAACTGATATCCCATGAAATTTTATTGCCATTATATTAATATACTGTATATTTAAACAAATGAAGGAACAATTATTTTATTAATATTTTGCAATTTAAAATAAACAATTAAATATTGTAATGAGTAGATTTTATCATTACTGTTATAACTATAATATATCCTATTTCTATACCGTTTCAATATTATTTTAATAGCATTGCCATTTATATCTGGAAAGTGTTGATTATTTAGAGGTTTCATGAGAATTTTTGGGGTGAGTTACTCGCTTCACTTTCCATGCAATGATTTCACGTAAACCACTGGAATGGCCGCCACTATTGGCACAGTACTCCTGTAGTGGTTTAGGTTGTCTTAATTGTACATTGGGCACAATATTAGCTTTTACTACACAATTATTAATACAATCTATGTCTGATTGATCGTAAATTAAGACATTACTACTTTGCGGACCAATTATATAAAAGGTATTATCTCTGGTCCTGAGATTATTTAATTCAATTTGACCTTTACTATCAAACGAAACACTATTCAATGTTAAGACAGACTCATTGTTTTGAGAGTTAAGACTCGAAGTCTGTACCACTCGGGTCTGGTCAGAAGCTCTGAGACCAGTAAAAACTATTTTACTAGTTTGGTCACTCACTACACGTGACACAACTATAGTATACTGAAGACAGGACGATACAGTGTTATCAGCATCCATACAATGGCTGGCTAGCCGCAACACTTGCGCTAAAACAAACAAAAACCGACATTACTCAATGACAACAAATGTCTTGTCGCAATTAGAAACTGGTAACTAAAACATAACGATTGACTAACTGGTCGGGCCCTACCAATAATTGCCAACGAGAGAAGCCTCAAAGCCTCCCTCTAACCAAAACATGCAACAATACCCAATCTACTAGTAAGACTGAGTCTAATGGTCAGTACCATCACTCGGTACTACCGTCGGTAAAACAGGCGTATAGTCTATTCAAATACCCACTATAGGATAAGTAATGCTATACCCGTTGACCAACCCTGTGGCCAAACTATAAATCAGTCCTCTGACTCTGATGACATAACCAGGGGATCGTCACAAGCAATCTCTGGGGGAATCTAACCCATCTATGTCTCTCCAGCCGTGCCTACCCGGCACTAAATAAAGGCGTTTAAACACTAGTTAAACCCTACCCGACACTCGTCGGTGAAATGTGATATCACCCGAAACCTGTGTTACGGTGACTATCACTGGACTACTAATCTGTACTGTATATCATAACAATAGACAACAAAATTACACTCAACTAACATACATAGACAAGGACTATATTAGACAAAATTGTATGTGTGGTGGCGTCAATGATAAGGCGCTCATTAACTACAGCAAGCGGTGTCGCGTACACAACCGCCGCCGCATCGGTCAACGAATGCATCGCCGGAGAGTCACCAATCACATAAATTAACAAATCTATACAAACACATCATACACTCAAGTACGATAAAGACAATACATGACCGACAGATTGCCGACAGTATTACATAATTATCGTAACATTTCTATTATCTCACATACGGTATTCAGTTAAATCTGGTCAGACATAACTATGTCGTCTCTGGGGTCAATTGACATCACCTATAGGTTTTTGGCCGTGATATTGTAAGAACAGTGCATATGTAACAACAATAAACTATTAGGTGTCCAAATATTTATTTATACCGGGTCAGTCAATCCCGAAGGTGACTATAGACTCATAAAGTTAAGGCAAACCTTAACTATACTCTCGGATCACTATTGAGGAGCGTATGTTAACGGTCTTAAACTCAGTGTCCGTTATCGGCTATTAACACACAATCACGCGATCGGGAGACCGGAACCCTCTTGGGACCACTGGCCTGCCTAGTCAGTCAGTATCGAATAGTAACTATGCATTTCCCAACTAGGTTAGCGAAAGCACATATGTACTCGAGAAATCCACTGCTATGCATTCACACACACATTCACTCAAACAGCCGATAATTACAACAATCAACCAAACTAGTGCTATTGTCACGAAGACAGCAACCATTGGATCACCTAGTAAATTGTATTTTAAGGTCAGACTATTAGTGTTAAATAACACTGAGAACCGACAAAACTACAACTGTTTCACTAAAACGTAGGACTATTGCCGAAAAATCGGGCAGAGCCTTCGGCCGCCTGAAACACTTTCCGGGATGTCGGGGACTTCCATATGACACATATAGTAGTCTACACCAACAATAACTAAATATAGGTCAAAGGAGGTAAGGGAGGAGGACAGCRTAGCCGACAGATCTCTCGACACGACAGACCCGTTAGCATACTATCAATGGGAAGGGTATAACGGCATAACCGTACAGATCTCCCGACACGGCAGATCCGATGGTCAACCATCATAAGGTAGGTTAGGGTAGGTATGGTAAGGTTACATAACTGGACCGGAACCCCCGACACGGCGGCTCCGTCCATTAGTTATTTACGCGGGAAGGTTCGACAACATGACCGAACAGATCCCCCGACACGGCGGAACCGTCTGGCCAGTCATCTTACCTTGACTGTAGATAAGAAGGGACCTTTACGATACTGGAGCTCCCGACGCGGGAACCCACGGATTTAGGTCGCTTAGAAAAGGTAGGAGACAATAAATGGTAAAAACTTACATTTCAATCCAAAGGCTTTATTTTAAAATTGACATCAAAGGGTATACATCCAAGTATACGGACAGACCAATGAGAAGGGGGTCGAACCAGAAGGGGAGAGAACTGATCTGCTAACGGCTCTTAGCAGTACTAGTCTTATGCCTGTGACTACCAGTATCTCAATGATAAAATCATTGAGGATACACGGGGTTTTATAGTAAYGGTYGCRTCAATATAATTTTTCAAGGGGATATGGGAATATTTAGGTGATGTGTTTAGTGCCGAAAACCACTGCAATATAGCACTATTTATGCTATATTATATAACAGCAGATGTCAAAAAATTGAAAATCCGGCACTAAATGGGGAAAAATTAATACTATTTATGCTATGGTAAGGGTAAAGATTTTGGATTTTTCGTTATACTAAAATATACTACAGTAGTATATTTGTGTACAATTTTACTGTTAATAAAAAATTTTTACAGGATATCCATTGTAAGTATTGTTAAATATATTTTGGGTATTATATAATTAATTTAAATATTTATATTGACAATATACATATGATATTACTATAAACAAACAACAAAATTTTTAATATATAATTTATTATTACTAATAACGATCTATACAGTATTATACTAAAGTATTTAAGACAAACAATATGCAAAAATAAATGTACAATATATGACTATAAAAACATTATACCAATACATGTTTAATTTGTATGTAATTCAGTCATATAATAATAGAGTAGTATTTATTAAAATCGCATTTCATTTACATAACAACACAAAAGTTTGGAAAAAAGAAAAAACCTCTAATATTGTGATTTCTAGAAAACATTACTTTTAATGATATTATAAATATTTTTATCAAAACTATTTTATAAAATTTTTTATAATTTTTATTCTAATTACTATAAAAACAAAATTAACAAATAGATTCATTAAATTATTAATAAATTGTAAAAATCAGTAAAATTCATTATTTACAACATATACTGCTATAGTAAATGTAATATTCGATAATTTTATTAGATTTACAAATTAAAGTTATGCAAAACCTTATATTAGCATAATTAACAACAATTATAATAACAAAAACAATTAATTAAATATTTATAGATTAAAAAGTTATATAACATGTGTTTATACCGGTGTTAACATAACATAAGTTATATAACACTAATATTAATTAAATTTTTAAGTTGACTTTAAAACGTCATTTTCATAGTATGTTCAAAATATATACCAATTGACAAACATTACATCAGAGTCTTTGAGGGTTTATATCTCAGTAATGGTATAATAAAATTTCACCAAATTTGTGTTCACCAAAATAAAGAAAATATCCTCAAAAAATTATATCTAATACTTTTGAAATTATTAATATTTTAACCAAATATTACATTTTCATATAATTTACATTCAGTTTACATACACTTACTATTAGAACTTATGTGTTCACTAATTTGACACTAAAGTGGAGTCCATTGTATTCGGCATTAATTTAACTTAAATCATATTCGAATCAATACAGAGACCAATGGAGTCCACTTTAGTGTCAATTTGGTTAATACATGAATTAGTGTTTGTATTTATATTGTAATATTTAATTAAATTTTTAATAATTTCAGAAGTATTAGATATATTTTTAAAAATTTTATGATAAATTTTTGAGGATATTTTCTTTATTATAGACAAATTTGGTGATATTTTATTATACCATTCAAGATATAAACAATTAAAGACTATATGTTAATGTGGTGTCCATTGGTGTATATTATATAAGTAGTTATAATATTGTAGAAATATTACCAAATATTTATATAATAAATGATAGAATATATTCAGTATATACTATAGTTTAGTCATTAAGAAATTTTCGAGAAAGTTTCATTACACTATAATTATTAATTTAATATAATTAATAAAAGTTTGAAAATTACTACATTTAAAACATATTTTAAGTTTTTTAAATTAAAATTTATATTAATATACATTATATAACAAAATTTCAATTATATAGGCGTTTACTGTATATATAATATATAAATAGACAATAAATGCTGTATATGTGAGTTCAAGAATATATTGTAAATTATAATTTTTGAAGTCTGTAGAAATTTTCTTATTGGAATTTATTGGAAATTTCTATTTGTCTCTAAATGTATAAAACATATTTATGAAAGCCCTCATTCACTAAAATTATTGAACCATAAAATAAAAGAAATAATTTAAAACTATGAAAATGTGAATTAAATTATAGTGTATAATAAATTATTAATAATACAGTATTATTGTTCATCTATTTTCATAAATAATTATTATTTATAAGTGATTCCTCTATTTTTAACATATATTGAAATACTTTTATAAGAATATATTTATTTGTATTTATATATATCAGGGTTATTATTAATTAAATTAAGCCGAATTTTATTAAAATTATGTGATTAAAAACAAAAATAAATTGTTCAATAAAGTAATAATGTTACATGTACGATATTATTTTTAAATGAGTAAAATAATGATAAATATATCTATAATAATGTATTTTTTTTGTAAATTATTTTAATTTTTGTCATTACTATAAATTTTAGAATTAGTCAGTTTAAAATTAACAGATAAAATAAAATAATTAGTATTAAGTTAATTTTTATCTAAATATAGTATTATTTTAATAAAAATGTATATCAGAAAAACTTTAAAATAATTTATTTCAAAAAAGTAATGTTTTAATTAGAATGATATTTTAAGATATTTAAAAAAAATTATAATAAATTATACTGTAAAAATTAATAATTTTATTATTTTAAATTTTGCATTTTAATGGCAGAATTATATTTTATTTTCAATAATTTTAATTAAAATTAGAGTTTTTCTTAATGTATGAAAATAATTTGAAAATTTAAAGACTTTATGGGAAAATTTTCATACTTTGCTCGGAATTTCTTCCAATTTACTATGAATTTTAGGAAATTTTGAAAATTATTTTTGACTCCCTAGATTTTTAAATTTTTATAAAAAATGTCGTTTAAAAATGCAATAAAATGTACACCCTACCCCAAGATTTTTCGAGATTTTTAAAATTTTACTTCAACCTATACCCCCTAAAATCCAAAATCTTGATTAACTCTGATATATACTGTTTATATATTTAACATTTAAATAAATTGTAATATCTAAATATATAGAATAATTATAATAATAATTGAAAATTTTAATTTTAACATTAAACAATAAATAGTTTCAACTTTAATTCAAACTAAAACTATTCCGATAATATGATATAATAATTTTTTACTATTTAGATTATATCAAATAATATTTTCCAATGTTATTATAAATTTAGTTTTTATTTAGAGTAAATAATTATTTTATTTTATTGCTTTTATTATAATCAAATTACTATAATTCTAGTTTTAAAAGGTAATATACAGTCCTTATGATCTACCGAAAACTCGGGCCCTTTTTATGTATATTACATATGTTTTTTGTGTAACTATATCTCTATTAAATTATTATATAATTACATAAATGATGTCGCATTTTTTTAAACAACTCATGACAATATGGTATCTTTTATAATTACCAAATGTAACACAAAAAACATAAGTAACATAAATAAAAAAGTACCGAGTTTGTTCTGAAAATGTTTAGTGTATATTAAGTTTTAGTTCACACGTAGTCTCAATTTAAATTATATAAAAATAATTTAATAAAACTCAACAATATTGTAATAAAAACATTGTTTAACAAATAATATATATTTATTAGGATTAACACTGTAGTCATTTTTTGTGAATCTTAATTAATTTGCTAAAAATATGTAAATATACTGTTAATTTAACATTATATTTACATATTTTTAGCAAATTAATTAAGATTCACAAAAATGACTACAGTTTGAACACAGTTTAGCTCAAAACACACTAAAATTAATTACAAAAAATGTAAATAAAATATTTCTATTTTCTTTCATTTCAATAAAAAAAATTCTCAAAAAACACTTTGTCATTAATTTTATGTTATAATAGTTATAATAATTATCCTTTTAATTAATTGACAAATATTAGTAATATTCTTAGTAATAATAGTAATAAAAGTACAGTATTTAAGAATAATATATTTTTATAAAATTTTAAAAGATTTTTTAACTGAATTCGTTGTGTGTATGTGTATGTGTATGTGTATGTGTATGTGTATGTGTATGTGTATGTGTATGTGTATGTGTATGTGTATGTGTATGTGTATGTGTATGTGTATGTGTATGTGTATGTGTATGTGTATGTGTATGTGTATGTGTATGTGTATGTGTATGTGTATGTGTATGTGTATGTGTATGTGTATGTGTATGTGTATGTGTATGTGTATGTGTATGTGTATGTGTATGTGTATGTGTATGTGTATGTGTATGTGTATGTGTATGTGTATGTGTATGTGTATGTGTATGTGTATGTGTATGTGTATGTGTATGTGTATGTGTATGTGTATGTGTATGTGTATGTGTATGTGTATGTGTATGTGTATGTGTATGTGTATGTGTATGTGTATGTGTATGTGTATGTGTATGTGTATGTGTATGTGTATGTGTATGTGTATGTGTATGTGTATGTGTATGTGTATGTGTATGTGTATGTGTATGTGTATGTGTATGTGTATGTGTATGTGTATGTGTATGTGTATGTGTATGTGTATGTGTATGTGTATGTGTATGTGTATGTGTATGTGTATGTGTATGTGTATGTGTATGTGTATGTGTATGTGTATGTGTATGTGTATGTGTATGTGTATGTGTATGTGTATGTGTATGTGTATGTGTGTCTTGTTCATTTTCAACTATTGTTGACTATTCTCAAATGTCTCTATTGTTTTAATATACTGTACTGTATGTTATAAATTTTTACATAATATTTTATATTTAAATAATGAATAAATTTTATTGATGTTTTTATAAGTATTATAAAGTAAATTTAATATTTTATAAATTAAAATATAAAAATATTGAATAATGTATATTTTGTAAAATATGTTTTTAAAGATACATATAAATAACTTAATTTTGTTTTTATTTTTGAAAGTTTAGTAGTAACAACATTAAAATTTACTTATATATCAATAGTATTTTAGAAAATAATAAATGCTGCAATGTAAATTTAGTTATATGCTAATTAGTGAATCAATATATTTAAATTTGACTGAAAGAAACGATATGTTATTAAATTAGTTTATCAATTAGTAATTTATAATAAACTTAAAATATGTGCAATTAATTACTGATTGCTATTAATGTATAACTCAATAGATTTGTTATGCAATGGTATCGCTGTCTTGGTTTATGTCATTTTCAGTATACGCTATACTTATTTATCCCAATGCAGAGTATCGGTTAGTATTGAATCGATCAATCATTTTATATTTTTAATTACTATATTATTAAATAACATTTTTGACATTTATTTCATTTTTAAAAAGCTATGATTCAAATGGTATAATGAGTTGCGAACCATTTTATGAGAAAAAATTGATAATAATATTAGCGACGACACTATTTTTTATACCACCGGCCTTTACACTCGTCTACTGCTATATAAAAATCTTAAGAGTAGCGCACCGGCAGATCAAAAACATACAAAAATGTCCATCAAATGCTTACAGTACTATCCAGGGATACGACAATATTCGCAAAGTAAATACAGTATTGTATTCACAATAATCACTAATTTAAGTGATTATTACAATTAGTTATTTTAGTATTTATAGCATTTTGATTATACAATTTAAATAATATAATTGTGTTAATAGAGTATAAAAATATTCAACTAAATGCTGTCACTTTTTATATTAAATTAGTTATCAGATTATATTTTAATAGCTATACATAATTGAAAAAATATGTCTTTAAAAAGTCTTATATGTAGTGAAATGTTATTCCAACCCATAATTATTATTATTAAAAGATTTTCTAATATCTATTTTACATAGATTTCAATACTTTAATGTTTAGTAAAAATAATTCATTAAATAACTATATTATAAAAGAACAATTAAAATCATATTAAATATTTGATATATTAAATAATGTTAATAAATAGTATATTAAAGTATATGTGAAATAATGATTGTTACAAAAGAATTAGTTTATAACACTAAAACATTAACATTTAATAATTAGTATCATAAATATAATACTTACCATAAAATTTTACATTTTATAATAGTTTAATGTGAAGGAAAAGAAGAAAACATATCGTATTTTAGTAACTCTGGGCTCCATATCTGTAGGCTTTTTGATTGCAGTGACTCCGTGGACACTAACAGAGCTGATATCGTCAGTCTGGAAGGTCAACCTCCCGAGTAATGTCGAGTTTGTCGTCACTTGGATTGCCATAAGTAACTCATTCTGGAATCCTATTCTCTACGGACTACTAAACAAATCTTTCCGAAGTGTCGCTTATGAACTCATCTCAAGATTTTTATTCAAAAATTGTTTGACGCGAATCATTGCAAACAGTTTTATATTTAATAATCGATTTCACAATCGAAACTCTTCACCAAATAGTGGTAGAGTTGACTTTATTTTGCCGCAAACTGACGGATCAGTTTGACATTCATTAAAAATTACTTATATTATTAATGCTAATAAATTATTATGTATTTTTTTAATTATAAATGTCATGCAATTTGTAAATATTTATTTTGTTTAATTTCATTAAAATTTTTAAAAAATGTTTATCAAAACGTATCGTTTTTTAATTAAAAAAGATTGTATTTCTAAAAAAATTGAATACTTTATGCCTATAAGCACTATAGTTTTCTTATAAACATATGAAATACAGTAATATAAAATATTTATAATACATTAGTTATTAAAATAAGTAAATGTATATAAAACTATAGTATAAAATATTGTGTAATAAAACTAATTACAAATGTATAATAATATTACATAATAATTGGTTCCCGATTACCGACTTTACGAACACTTAATCTTATTTTTTTGTTAGCATTTTCAATGCTAGCACTTAATGGTGTGACACATGACTCGGGATTTGGTTGACAATTGTCAGTCTTATTATACATTTGATGATTAAGTTTGGTTGGAGTTGGAGATGACTTCTCAGAACAACAACTTAATGGAGAAGTAAAGAGATTTTTACTTAATTTTTGTTTTGCAATTTCTGAGTCGGAGTTAGTGCCAAATAAAAACTGTTGTCCAGCTTTGAGTACACTTCCAATCGATGTCTTTAACTTTTTGTTAGAATTGTCGAAATTCTTTTGTTTCAAAAGTGGTGTTCCCTTTCCATTCTCTCTATTGAAACGTTTGATCCATTTTTTCTTCATTGGAGTTCCAGAGTTTGGCATACTTTGGATATAAGCGTAAAGTTGAGCGACCTTTCAATAAAAAACAAATTAAGTTTTAAAATGTTATTTCTATTTATTATACGTTAATACTTGAGCTGACGTAAAGTCGTCAGAAGTGTTATTGTTTTGAACACAAAACTGATGGCCAGTGTTTACGGCTGCCAACGATGTTGTGCTCTCAGACTTATTGTTTTCAATCAGTTCAAGTTGTTTATCCACATCAAGAATCAACTGTTTTGGTGGTAAACATACAAATTCTGAATTATCAATCATAAAAATCAATGTCTGAGTAAATAAATCCAAATGTTGCTGTAATTCAATGGCTGAGAAACTTCGCGGACAAAACAAATGCGGTGCAAAAATTGTGGCCAAACTTATTGAAGTCATTTTGTTTTGTTCAACATTAGAGATCACTTTATCAAATAAAGACAGCAATTCATGGATCAGTTGTCTATTAGGCGCCGGTAATAAAAGTAAAATTAATTGAATTGCAGTTAATTTCTTCGATGTCTTCGTAGGAGAAGTAATAGTATCACATAATTGTGAGATTTTCTTCAAAAAAGGATACTTTGATTCAGTCATTAGTGGTTCGGGAAGTTCTGAAATAAATCTCTTCAAAACACTGCAACAGTCGTGAACTGTAAACCGATTGGCATATAAGTCAACCGTCACTCCCATTGATATCAACTCTTTTAACTCCATTTGTCTTACAGTACTTCCGCTCTTCCGGAATATGCCTTCATTTAAGATGTCTTGAGACAAATTGCAAATTAAGACATTTGTGTCATTTCAAGTACTAAAGACTTACTTTTATCATTTGTGATGAATTCAATCAATTGATTAACACAACAGATGCCCTCTTGAGTTAGTGGTGACCCAAAAATAGTATCTATTGTTCAATGAATTCAAGACATTCACTACACTCCAAGCTATCAAATATATTCATCACTTACCACTTGGCGTCTGAAGTGACCTCTTCTTCCCAATCGTTTGCTCTTTTGAATTGATATCAAAGTTTAAGTCAATTATAAACGAGAGATGACTTTGAATTAATTGAGTTAACAATTGATTATCTTTAAGACGCAACCTATCGATTGAATTCATTGTATTGATGGTAATGTGTGTCACCTAATGGTCGACAATCAGATAAAATCAATTGATATGTTGTCAACAGTTTGTAAACATTTGTTACAATAGTTTTAATATGAAATCTGTTGCAAACATATTGTAAACTGCGGTCTCATTTCAAACCATCCAATCATATGTTAATATCATATGACGTCTATTCAAATATATTTGCTTTCACTCATCAATAATGTCTATACAATACTACGGTATAAAACTCTATACATTTGTACAACTTTTCACTTTTACTTGCATTGCATTCAATAATAATTATTATTTGATTTGCATTTTATAGTAAAATTTAATTTTATATTATAATTATTTATTTTAATTATATATTAATTTAAATTATGATAAATTAAACACTAATTTATTGAATTTTGAAATTTATAGTTTTATTAATTGTTTTTCAATTGATAACAATGAATCCACTTTTGTCTTCAATTCATTCTTAATTGTAATCATTTGTAAAACTCTTTGTTGGCATTCAATTAGTTCTTGTCTTTTGTGACCATTAGGTCCAAACTGACGACAAAAATTCAATGATTTGTTTAACAAATTATGGATTCTTTGCTTTCGATCTGTTCTTAACTTTTCCTTTAGTAGTAATTGAATAAATAGTTTATTAATTATCATATGTTTTGAATTAATTAATTAGTTATAACTGTTATGAAAATAACAAATGTCTATAAACTTATGATAAGATAATATCAAACCATTTGTCTCTTTAATTGGTCTATCTTTGAGATGAAGGTATGGATGTGTTGTTGAAGTAAATCATTTTGTGTGTTCATCAAAGTTACTTGAGTTGTAATGTCGACGACTTGGATCTGCTTTAACTCAATATGACGTTTGATATCATTTAATTGATTGTTTAATTGAGACAATTGTTGTTCATATGTCTCGACACGAGTTCGTACTGAAAGACAATAAACAAATTGATAGTCAATTGGTTATCATTGATGTGGAAGAAGTGGTTAAACCTGTGTTGAGTGCAATCTTCTTATTATTAAATTTGGTCTCATTTTCAATGAGTTCTTCAAATAAATGACTTAACGTTTTGGTCTCCATTTGTTGCCAATTGTTATCCATTTAGTCTTAATTGGTATCCAATCATAACAAACACAATCAGTGATTACGTATCAATCGAATCAATCACTTAATCAACGCTTCAAATATTGGCTCACTTTTCATACAACACTCGCCTATTGGTTGAGTCAATGAATCACGTGATTCATTGTTTGAATGGTTTGAGTGTAAATGTGTGGCAAAACATATGATAATCACATTTATATGACATTTATAGCACATGTTGTCAATGGGTTAACAATAGGTAAACAATAGGTAAACAATAGGTAAACAATAGGTAAACAATAGGTTAATCATTATATTAAACAAATGGAGGATATAATTGAAGAACCATCACATCGTTTGAATCAATTATTAGATGAAACAACTATACAAACGAGTGATGACAGTGATGGACAAAATAAGTGTGACTATGATTGGACTAAATCACCGAAACTGATCAACAAATGTTTTAATCAATTCAATGATTCAAACAATTGTCTAAAAGGTTGCAAATGGTCTCCCGATGGTTCATGTCTTATGACAAACAGTGATGATCACTGTTTAAGACTTTTTAATTTACCACAAAATTTGTGTCAAAATCCTATTATTTTAGACGAAGACGTCGAAGAAATGGTAATTTTGTTGATTTATAAAAAGTGTTAAAATTATTTATAAACAAATTGACAAATGATGTGATAATTAAAGGCGAATTTGATTGCTTTGCATGTCTTTAATCAATTGATCGACAAGTGTTAACACAATTGATATCAATTGATCAAAATATAATTTATTTTGATTATACAGTAATTATGCAAATATTAATATATTGAATGTTTTAATTAATTAAAAACTATTTATCTCAGTATTGGTAAATAGTGTAATACATTCATTACATTTTCATTATAATTAAACTCAAAATGATATTTATTATTATCTGATGTCTAATAAACAATATATTTAGTCCTATATATTAGTTAACTTTGAGATCTTTATATTAATTTTCATATACTTTACTTGAGATTAGAGTCCAGTGCTTAAGATAAAAGAAAGTGAAATCATATATGATTTTTGTTGGTATCCACTCATGAACTCATGCCATCCATCCACATGTCTGTGAGTTTTATCAAAATTATAATTATTTATTAATTATCTAATATATGTCTAATTTTATTAATCAAGTCTTATGACAACCAGTCGTGATAATCCAATTCATTTATGGGACGCCTATACGGGACAACTTGTTTGTACGTATAGAGCATACAATTATGCCGATGAAGTAATAGCGGCTAATTGTGTGGCTTTTAGTGCTGACGGAACTAAAATATATTCGGGTTTTGAGAAATGGATCCGAGTTTTTGATACTTCTTCTCCCGGAAGAGTCTGTGATTCTAAACAAACTTACAGTAAGTTTTATATAAATATATTTTTATGATAACATTTGTTTAAAATTTTTATTTTGTTTATTTTTAAAGTGGACAAAACGGGTCAAAAGGGAATCATATCATGTATTGCAGTAAATCCTTTGAATCCAAATATTATAGCTTTTGGTTCATATGATAAAAGTATTGGACTTTATGAAGAACCAAGTCTTGTAAATATATGTGTATTAATGGGACAAAAGGGAGGACTAACACACATCCAGTTTTCAGCAGATGGCCACAGACTATATAGTGGCGGAAGAAAAGTATTTACAATTACCGGTAATTTTTTTATTGACATTTCATAATACATTTTGTATTAAAATTTATAGGATTCAGAGATACTTTGTTGGGATATTAGAAATGTCGGTCAAGTGTTGTCTGTCATCACTCGTAGTGTTAATACTAATCAAAGAGTATATTTTGACTTATCATGTGATTCAAAATATTTAGCGACAGGAAGTGATAATGGAATGGTCTATATTTATGACACCAAAAGTGATGATATCAATGATGATATACTCAAATCTTGTAACTCATTTGAGGCACACAATGATTGTGCTAACGGTGTGGCGTAAGTGAAGTATTTATTGAAGTTTGTGACCTTTTATAGCTTAGTGTTTAAATAT